CTCCTCAACAAGAATTACTGCAGTATTTCTCCTCAAATTTTTCTCCTCAGAGGCCTGTCTTCTCCTCAGAATCTGCTTCCCAACATGTCATTTCGCCTCAGATATTTCTCCTCAACACTCCTTACTACAGTATTTCTCCTCAGATTTTTCTCCACTAGGCCTGTCTTCTCGTCAGAATCTGATTCCAAGGGTGTCATTTCTCCTCAGATATTTGCCCTCAACACTGCTTACTGGAGTATTTCTCCTCAGAGTTTTCTCCTCAGGGGCCTATCTTCTCCTAAGAATCTGCTTCCCAACGTGACATTTCACCTCAGATATTTCTCCACAACCCTCCTTACTGCAGTATTTCTCCTCAGATTTTTCTCCACTAGGCCTGTCTTCTCGTCAGAATCTGATTCCAAGGGTGTCATTTCTCCTCAGATATTTCTCCTCAACAAGAATTACTGCAGTATTTCTCCTCAGATTTTTCTCCTCAGAGGCCTGTCTTCTCCTCAGAATCTGCTTCCCAACCTGTCATTTCACCTCAGATATTTCCCCTCAACACTCCCTACTGGAGTATTTCTCCTCAGATTTTTCTCCTCAGAGGCCTGTCTTCTCCTCATCATCTGCTTCCCAACGTGTCATATCACCTCAGATATTTCTCCTCAACCCTCCTTACTGCAGTATTTCTCCTCAGATTTTTCTCCTCAGAGGCCTGTCTTCTCCTCAGAATCTGCTTCCCAATGTGTCATTTCACCTCAGATATTTCTCCACAACCCTCCTTACTGCAGTACTTCTCCTCAGATTTTTCTCGACTAGGCCTGTCTTCTCATCAGAATCTCATTCCAAGGGTGTCATTTCTCCTCAGATATTTCTCCTCAACAAGAATTACTGTAGTATTTCTCCTCAGATTTTTCTCCTCAGAGGCCTGTCTTCTCCTCAGAATCTGCTTCCCAACCTGTCATTTCACCTCAGATATTTCCCCTCAACACTCCCTACTGGAGTATTTCTCCTCAGATTTTTCTCCTCAGAGGCCTGTCTTCTCCTCATCATCTGCTTCCCAACGTGTCATATCACCTCAGATATTTCTCCTCAACCCTCCTTACTGCAGTATTTCTCCTCAGATTTTTCTCCTCAGAGGCCTGTCTTCTCCTCAGAATCTGCTTCCCAATGTGTCATTTCACCTCAGATATTTCTCCTCAACCCTCCTTACTGCAGTACTTCTCCTCAGATTTTTCTCCTCAGAGGCCTGTCTTCTCATCAGAATCTCATTCCAAGGGTGTCATTTCTCCTCAGATATTTCTCCTCAACAAGAATTACTGTAGTATTTCTCCTCAGATTTTTCTCCTCAGAGGCCTGTCTTCTCCTCAGAATCTGCTTCCCAACCTGTCATTTCACCTCAGATATTTCCCCTCAACACTGCCTACTGGAGTATTTCTCCTTAGATTTTTCTCCTCAGAGGCCTGTCTTCACCTCAGAATCTGCTTCCCAACGTGTCATTTCACCTCAGATATTTCTCCTCAACACTCCTTACTGCAGTATTTCTCCTCAGATTTTTCTCCTCAGAGGCCTGTCTTCTCCTCAGAATCTGCTTCCCAATGTGTCATTTCACCTCAGATATTTCTCCTCAGCACTCCTTACTGCAGTATTTCTCCTCAGATTTTTCTCCTCTGAGGCCTGTCTTCTCGTCAGAATCTGATTCCAAGGGTGTCATTTCTCCTCAGATATTTCCCCTCAACACTGCTTACTGGAGTATTTCTCCTCAGATTTTTCTCCTCAGAGGCCTGTCTTCTCCTCAGAATCTGCTTCCCAACCTGTCATTTCTCCTCAGATATTTCTCCTCAACAAGAATTACTGCAGTATTTCTCCTCAGATTTTTCTCCTCAGAGGCCTGTCTTCACCTCAGAATCTGCTTCCCAGGGTGTCATTTCTCCTCAGATATTTCTCCTCAACACTCCTTACTATTTCTCCTCACTTTTTTCTCCTCAGAGGCCTATATTCTCCTCAGTTTGTGCTTCCCAATGTATCATATCTCACCTGATATTTCTCCGCAACACTCCTTACTACAGTATTTCTCCTCAGATTTTTCTCCTCAGAGGCCTGTCTTCTCCTCAGAATATGCTTCCCAGGGTGTCATTTCTCCTCAGATATTCCTCAACACTCCTTACTGCAGTATTTCTCCTTACTTTTTTCTCCTCAGAGGTCTGTCTTCTCAGTATTTGCTTCACAACGTGTCATTACTCCTCAGACACTTCTCAATAATCCTTACCGCAGTATTTCTCCTCAGATTTTTCTTCACTAGGCCGGTGTTCTTGTCAGAATCTGATTCCAAGGGTGTCATTTTGTAACAGGGTGGTCCCCAGGAAAGGGGGAGGTTCCCTGCCCCACCCAAGGGAGGGTGGAGCTGAGCAGCAAGAGAAGAAGCTGCAAGAAGAGACTGAGGAAGGAAGCAGGATGGAGCAAGGAGACCTGGAGGAGGCGCATGGAGCCTAGAGACATGTGAAGAAACTGCGCTTGTCTTTTGGGTTGTGGACTGGGTGACACAGATGTGGGTGAGACCCGTGGGGAGGTGACAATGGCAGCTTTTATCTGGATGTTGATTTTGCTCTTTTCCTTCCGGGCTTGTCCGGTTGTTTGTGACCCTTTTCTGTGGGTCCCCACTGGAAGATGTTTTAGACTTGTGGCAGGCTTTGGGGCCTTGCTCTGGGCCGACCCCATATGGATGGAGTTTTACCCACGAGGGGATGGGTAACTTTGGGTGCTTCATTTAGAAACTAGACTCTTTGCCTTACCTGTATTGTTTTCTAGTTTTTAATTAAAGTTCCTTCCCATTAAAGTCTCCTATGTTTTGTGTTGATGCGGCGGATGGCAGAACCCATTTAGAATAGGCAGGTTTGTGGGGGTTTGGGCTGACCCTTTTCCCTGTCCTATAACAATTTCTCCAAAGATATTTCTCCTCAACACTCCTTACTGCAGTATTTCTACTCAACTTTTTCTCTTCAGAGGCCTGTCTTCTCCTCATTTTGTGCTTCCCAACATGTCATTTCTCACCTGATATTTCTCCTCAACACTCCTTACTACAGTATTTCTCCTCAGTTTTTTCTCCTCAGAATCCTGTGTTCTCTGTATGTGCTTCACAGCGTCTCATTACTCCTCAGATATTTCTCCTCAACACTCTTTACTACAGTATTTCTCCTCAGATTTTCTCCTCAGAAGCCTGTCTTCTCCTCAGAATCTGCTTCCCTATGTGTCATTTCTCCTCAAATACTCCTCCACAACACTCCTTACTGCAGTATTTCTCCTCACTTTTTTCTCCTCAGAGGCCTGTCTTCTCTTCAGTTTGTGCTTCCCAACGTGTCATTTCTCACCTGATATTTCTCCTCAACACTCCTTACTACAGTATTTCTCCTCAGATTTTTCTCCTCAGAGGCCTGTCTTCTCATCATCTGCTTCCCAGGGTGTCATTTATTGTCAGATATTTCTCCTCTGTACTCCTACTAAAGTATTTCTCCTCACTTTTTTCTCCTCAGAGGCCTGTGTTCTCACTATGTGCTTCACAACATGTCATTACTCCTCAGATACTTCTCCTCAACACTCCTTACTGCAGTATTTCTCCTCAGATTTTTCTCCACTAGGCCTGTCTTCTCGTCAGAATCTGATTCCAAGGGTGTCATTTCTCCTCAGATATTCCTCCTCAACAAATGATTGCAGTATTTCTCCTCAGATTTTTCTCCTCAGAGGCCTGTCTTCTCAGAATCTGCTTCCCAACATGTCATTTCTCCTCAGATATATCTCCTCAACACTTCTTACTACATTATTTCTTCTTAGTTTTTCCTCCCCAGAAGCCTGTCTTCTCCTCAGTATGTGCTTCCCAACGTGTCATTTCTCCTTAGGTACTTCTCCTCAACACTCCTTACTATAGTATTTCTCCTCAGAGGCCTGTCTTCTCCTAAGAATCTCCTTCCTAGCATGTCATTTCTTGACAGATATTCCTCCTCAACAATCCTTACTGCAGTATTTCTCCTCAGTTTTTTTTTCCACAGAAGCCTGTCTTCTCTTCAGTATGTGCTTCCCAAAGTGTCATTTCTTCTCAGATACTTCTCAACAATCCTTACTGCAGTATTTCTACTCAGATTTTTTCCTCAGAGGCCTGTCTTCTCCTCAGAATCTGCTTCCTAGAGGGTCATTTCTCCTCAGATACTTCTCAACACTGCTTACTGGAGTATTTCGCCTCAGAGACCTGTCTTCTCCTCAGAATTTGCTTCCCAACTTGTCATTTATCATATTTCTCCTCTGCACTCCTACTAAAGTATTTCTCCTCCCCTTTTTCTCATCAGAGGCCTGTATTCTCACTATGTGCTTCACAATGTGTCATTACTCCTCAGATACTTCTCCTCAACACTCCTTACTGCAGTATTTCTCCTCAGATTTTGCTCCACTAGGCCTGTCTTCTCGTCAGAATCTGATTCCAAGGGTGTCATTTCTCCTCAGATATTTCTCCTCAACACCCCTTACTGCAGTATTTCTCCTCAGTTTTTTCTCCTCAGAGGCCTGTCTTCTCCTCAGAATCTACATCCCAGGGTGTCATTTTTATCAGATATTCCTAGTTCATTGCCTTTGCAAAAAGAAATAGAGAACACAATAGAATGAAAATCCTGTATTCCAAGTCAACTGTCACAGATCGATATAAATCTACGGTCCTGCCAAACAGAACTCGTTCATTTTATGTCTCATCCTAGAAATGAAAACCTGATTATTTCAGCAGAGGTTCCATCATTGACAGGAAAGAGGGTGGTGTCAAATTTATATAGATTCTTTTGTGGTAGTTCAACAGTTGTTTTATTTCTGCATAAACTTGTAAACCGTACAATGTCAGAGGTTTCATAAATGAAAAGGGTGCTAAGACTCAAGGAAAAGGAAGAAAAAAAATAAGAATAGCAAGAGGCATTCCAGGAACGAAAGAATGCCAAGAATATTTAACTCCCATTTTTAAAAAGGGGGATTTCATTTTTGGCTAAAAAGGTCCCCTTGAAATGAATTTTGTCCACTGTCAATGAAAGGAAGCCACTGACACAGAACAGACGGGTATTGCCACGTCTATCCGTGACCTTTATTGTTTCTGACACGGTGACTTTCAAGGTAGCAATGATGGCAACAGGTGTTCTAGTCTCAACCCATCTGAGCAATGTTGAAATGGAATTGCACACAGGCCCCACAAAACGGACATCCTCACCAACATTTCCACCCCAGACGTGAGGACACTCGAGCCTTCCCCATTCATCTTCCAATTTTCACATTGTCACCATCTTCGGAGGAAACGTGGGCTATTTACCTGTAGCTCACTTTGAATTTCCACACCGTCATGATGCAGCGGGACCATCGGGTGGGTGTCGCCACCGTGAGTCCCATCCTGCCCTGGCCAGGCTCCCGAAAGACTTGGAGTGAAGTCCCAGCCTGGGCCTGCGGGGGGCGGGGGGGACGGTTAAGGGGGAGCGGGGCCAGCAGGGGTGGGGGCAGGAACCTGGTCCTGCAGGACCCAGAAGGGCGGCACACTCTGCACTTCCATCTGGGCAGTAGGGGAGCCCAGAGGGAGGGGAGAGTGAGGAGCATCTCCTGTGGGCAGCTGACGGCAGAGTGGGGGGCACTGGTCAGGAGGGCCCAGAGGAGGGAGGGCTGGATGTGGAAAACCGCCAGGCGCTGGCAGGTTGTATTGCGGGCATGAAGGAGGCCAGAGGTCCAGGTTCACTCCTGAGCAACCCATTGGGTCAGAACCCACACTGTGAAGGGGGGCCAGGAGACCCACCGGCGCGTGAAGCTGTGCTCTGAGCGCTCTGAGTGTAGGACCCAATGGAACAAGGTAAAAATGCACAGCGCTCCACCCCGGAGCTCGCCCTGCAGCTGTGTCCACCACACCTGGGTCCCACTGGAGCTGGTCACCGCCTGGGACAGAAGCTGCACAGACTCTCTGAGCACCTGCACCCTCCCCGTGGCCGGAAGTCCCACCCTGGGGGTGTGACAACCGCACCCTCTCCTCACTGCCCACGAGGGATGAGCGCCCGCCTGGCAGGGTCAATCCAGGAGGCCCCTGACTGCTGAGAGAGAGGTGGGCGGGGCTGCCCCAGCACCTCCCCCCAGCAGGCACCAGAGCTGCGCCTCTGCCCGCACCGAGTTGGGGAGAGAGAGGAGCCGACAGGCCAGAGCCCAGAGACCACCCGCTCTGACAAAATGGAAGGTTCTAAGCTCATCAGGGAGGCCCAGAGGCGGGGATGATAGTTTTTCCTCTAATACCTGAGCCTCCGTTTCCTTATCTGTACAAAGGAAAGTATCCCCTCGACTGGAGAGGCAGACACAACCCCTTCACCTGTTGTTGCTCAGCGCCCACTGTCTGATGGTCGAGGACACGGGCTGAGCCGAGCCCACAGCTCAGAGCACCCTCAGGAGCAATCGGGGGCACAGGGAACCTCAACAGACCCACAAGAATTGTGACAGGGAGCTTGAGACGCCACAGCCTTCCCTGGAAGGGACGCCTGACATGCTCCTGGCCGAGGGGGCGACCAGCAGGGCTGCTGCGGAATGACCTTTGACACGGACCCGGTCAGGTGAATGGGGAAGCCGGAGAGAAGGAGGCTGTCAGAGAGGGGCCGCGGGCCTGAGACAGCAGGAGCAGATGGCAAGACTCTCGTCAGCTTGTCTGGAGGCTTGGACTCTGAGCGCGGACAGTGGGAGCCACTGAAGAGATTTTTGAGGCTGTAAATAAATGACGTGACAAACAGGTTGTCTTGTGAGGGCAGCGAGGACCGAGGGAAGGACTGCAGACAGCCCTCGGGAAACATCTGGTTCCTCCCTTTCCTCTCCCCAGGGAGGCAAAGATAGGAGGACGTGACCCAACCCGCCCAAGACAGCAGCGATGTGCCCTTGCTTGCCAGGTACAAATTCAGACCCCAGGCCCAGCTTCAGAAAGGACCATCCGCGAATCAGTGGGTCTGGCCCTGCCTTGTCCAGTGGCGGGTGACCAGCCCGCAATCGAGGACTGTGGATTTTACAGACACACGTGACCAGAGACGTGGCTCTAACTTCATGTTTTCCAGTTTCACCTTTGAATTTCCTGACTTAATTCCTCTCCTTGATTCCTTTATAAAGCGTGCAAGTAAGTCACTTAAGTGCAACATTTTCTCTGGTGGCACCGTGAAGCAGGTGACAAAGGGATGATCTTACTGAGCGGTCCATCAGCAGAAATGTGGATTAATATCCTAATATTATACGATCAATAACTGGTCATCTATTCTATGATAAAATGCCATTGCCTTTCCATCTGAAACATCCTTTCTTCATCTCTAGAGAACAGACCTACTTTGTCTGTTTTAGAAATCATAGAAAACAACACCTTTTTAGAAATTACAGAAAATAACACCTACATTTTTTATTAACACTCATTTTATGACTGTTCCATAATTGGAAAAATGTAACAATCCTAGATGCGACTTCCTATTTGTATGCAATTTACAGATTCCATGCAATTCCAACACAAATCACCATGGTGTTCCTCAATGAAATGGAACCAATAGGGCTCAAATTCATGTGGGATCACAGCAACCTCTAGTAGTGAAAACTCTTCTGACTAAAAGGGTGAAGGAGAAAGGAGCTATTGTTGCGTTGGGCAACACCACGCTGATAAAGAAACGGGAGTCGGGAGTCGTGGAGCAGGCTACATAATGCAGGATGCTGCTGCAAGATCCTGGCCTTCTTATTGATCCACAGCATGGGTTGTAAGAGTGAGGAGAAAAAGGGAAGGGGAAGGAGATGAAGGCATAGGAGATCAAAGAAAGGGGAAGAATGTAGAAGATCAGGGATTGTGAGTCTGCCCTCCAGACACTTCTCATCTGCTGGATGACTCGGTATTGTCATGGAGGTCACACCCTAATCCCCAGCCCTGGTTCTAATCTTATCAACAAAGCTTCCACTGATCAGCTTCTGGGGTCCTTTGTTATGCATTGGTCCTCAGGTCCCCAGGCATTCCCGGTCATACCTCCTGATGCATAGCCTTCCCAGCATGATCCGGCTTTGTGCTCTTGTTTGATTTGAAAGGGCACCTTGAAGGGTTGGCCTCTGCACCTAACTGACTGGGCCATCTTGACCTTGCTTAGAACTACAGGTGACACAGGAGCTAAGACTATACATTGGAACAAGAATAGCCTCTTCCATAAATGGTGCTGGGGAAACTGGATTGCAACATGCAAAAGAATGCAACTAGACCACTACCTCACACCATACACAAACCAACTCCAGTGGATGAAAGGCTTGCATGTGAAACCTGGCACCACAGAATACACAGAAGAGAACATAGGCAAACACTCCATGACATGATGCTCAGAAACGTCTTTGAGGTTTCTTCTCCAGAAGCAAGGAGACCAGGGAGAATGTACACAACTGGGGATACAGCTAGAGACGGTCATCAACACAGAGACACCTGCTGAATGGGGGAAAATAGCGGCACACCTATGACAGATAAGGGACTGATACCAAAGATCTACAAAGAGCTTACATGACTCAACAAAAACAAACAACCCAGTCCAAAAATGGAAATGCAAATCAAAACCACAATGATCTACCACCTCACTCCAGTGAGAAGGCTCCACGTTAAAAAAGAAAAACTGGAAACAAGAAATGCTGGAGAAGCAGAGGAGACAAAGGAGCCTCTGACAGTGCTGGTGGGAGCACAAACTGGTCCATCCACTATGGGAAGATGTGTGGAGGGTCTTCAGAACACTGAAAACAGGTCTACATATGATCCAGCGTTCCACTCCTAGGAATCTACCCAAGGACAGAAAAAACAGGAAACCTGAACTGTGTTTATTGCAGCACTATTTACAGTAGCCATTATATGGAAACAAATGCCACAAAACAGATGAATGGATCAAAATGTGGTATAGTTACACCACGGAATATTACTCCGCAATCAAAAAGACAAATTCATGCCACTTGTGGTGATATGGATGGAGCTGGAAGGGATGATGCTAGCCACAATAAGGCAGGAGAAAGATAAATATCAGATTGGTGCGAGCCGGGCTACCCATGCTGTTTGACAGGGTCCAGGCAGGGGGGAAATTTCTAAAAGGTCGGGAAGCTCCGCAGCCAGCTCCAGCTACTTCCTTTCATTTGTTTATGGCAGTTTTCACAATCATGGAAATTTTCTATAAAGCTTTAAAATGACATTATAAGTATTGACGTTAATGCTTGTTTTGGTAACGCGCACTACAGCAGTTTAAAAAATGTACATTCCAACATAATTGATAATGTGACGATTTCCGGTATTTCTCCATGTCCCCTGATTTGTAAATCACCTACCATGAGCAATGCTAAAATCTTCAACAAATCATGCTTGAAGGAACTATTGGAACCAAACCTGGTAGAAGTCCTCACAAGAGGAGGCACTGAGGCGCCCCAGAGACAAATTGGCCTGAAAAAAATGCACCACATACTGTTCCCACAGTAGGGGGACCCATTGTCCCAGCAAACTAGGAAGCTGCCTTCTGATCTTACAATGCCTGCTTGACCTTTATGTAGTTAACTAGCTTGGCCACATTAGTCATACTCTGTCTAGCTCTTGTTTCTAGTTCTGAGAAATTTACTTCACTTAAAGAAAAAATGTAATCAGGTTAATCATAGAGGAGGAAATTTGAGTAAAGATTGTGCACTGTTAATAATTTAAAAATAACCTCTAGAGAATGTAAAAATATAATCGCATGATTGCATGACGTAATGATAAAATAACAAATTTCTGATGTATAAATAAAACTCCACTGAGGCTATCAGGAGGAGATACTTGTCACCTGATCAAGTGTCAGTGTCTCCTCATTCCCTCATTCCCGCTGACGCGAGAATTCCTCATTCCATACCTTCGTGGACCCTGCCTTGGCTGGAGTTGGACTCCAGCATCAGATGGTTTCACTTACCTGTGAAATATAGAGAAACAGAACAAAAGGTAAAGAAAAAGGCAACCCTAGCAGGCTGACCAAGAGCTGATGCATCCAGCAGGGAGGAGGAGGGGGGGTGAACAGAGGGGAGGGAAGAACACAAGGTAATGTGTCATGAGTGCTATGGTGGTGGGAGAACTATGGGGACCACCCCTGAGGGGAGAAACCAATAACTAGACAAAAATTAACTACTATGCAAGCAAAGATGAAAAGGGCCTCCTGGTGGTGCAGGCAGTTGAGCGCAGTGCTGTGACGCTGTCCGCAGCCTCTGCAGTGGCGGTTCGATCCCTGCCAGCCGCAGATGCCCACATGGCGCGGCAGATCTCTCCTGTCTCCCCTGCTGCTCCCCTCAGCAGTGTATTTCAGTCAATCTGCCTGTTCTGCTCCCTGCTCTGTCTCTGGTGACTCCGCTCACTCTCCCACACATCTGGCCTGTACCCTAGTTCTTGTATAAATAAATAAATCTTTTTTTAAAAAAAAGAGGAAAAAAAAGAGATGGTCTTTAAGGACAGGGAAGACCCTAAGACAATATAAATAAATGAATGCTCCTAAAGGGGGTCTCACCCTGAACAATGCTGCAGGCACTGCCGAGGCATCCCCTCCTCACCAATTGTTCTAGATCTCCAGGAATTTTCTCTGGTAGGTGCAGCAATTAAGCCTGCTGTGTGGAAATAATTAGAAAAAGGCTATTTTTAACTGCAGTCTCTTGCAAGTAGCAATCACGTTTGGGATTAGAGCCATTCTAAAACTATGAAGTCATTCACGTTCAATATTAATGACAGCATCTTCCCGCGGTGCAATGAAACTTGAAAGTTTTGTTCTGTCTTGTTTTAGGCTGAAGCTCCTTCCTTATGGAGGAGGACGCCCAGCACCCAAGGACCTGTTCTGAGGATGGGTGGGGGCGCCCAGATTCCTTCCCTCCCCCTGGCCTCCAAGAGGGTTACAATTTACCCTCATTTTATTTATTTTTTTAAAGATTTATTTATTTATTTATACAAGCACTGGGTACAGTCAGAAGCGCGGGAGAGTGAGAGGATTCACCAGAGCCAGAGTGGGGAACAGAACGGCTAGACCGACGAAATACACTGCTGAGGGGAGCAGCGGACGGCAGGAGAGGTCTGCGCGCCATGTGGGACCCTTGCCCTGAGGCCAGGGATAGAACTGGTGCTGCAGAGGCTGCGGGTAGCTTCACAGTGCTCAACCGCTGCCGCCACTGGGGAGGCCCTACCCTCTATTTAAAACCTCCAGTTCAGTACAAAATACAGATTTGGGAATCCAAATATATCTGGCCCTTGATCTCAGAGAAGTTACTGATCCATTTTGGACCTCAGGGTCCACGACTACAGGGTAGGAATAATATCTTTATAGCGTCATTAATGGAGATCACATAACTAAAGCGATGAACTTGTTGCTCCAGCAGCTGCTAAATAAATGCCGATTCCTTTCTCCTTTACAGAGAACTCCAACTTCTCTCCAAAGCAAGCGTAACAGAGGGATTGGCAAGGAAGGAGGTAACATCAGTTTAACACATTAAAAGGTAAAGTGCAGCCTCCCCTCCTCCACCCCAGTGGCCTAGGGGTTAAATCTCAGTGCTGTCACCACAATGGTCTGAGTTCAGTCCTGGCCACGGAGCTACCCACATGGTGCAGCAGACCTCTCCTGTCTCGCCTGATGCTCCCCTCAGCAGTGTACCTCGGTAGATCCGCCTGTTCTACTCCCTACTCTGTCTCTGGTGAATCCTCTCACCCTCCCACCCCTATGGCCTGCACCCCAGTTCTTCTATGAAAAAATAAGCAAAAACTTTTTTAAAAAAAGATAAAATGGAGTATCTCCAAAATGTCCAGTTCCCACATGAGTCACTGTGGTTTACACAATCCCTGAAATAGGAGGAATCCTCTCAGCACCATCTATAGAGAAAAGATCTCAAGAGCTTGGAAAAGGGCCCTTCAGCGTCTCACATACACCCAACGAAGAAACTTTCCACCCCGATGGGTGACAGTGCCCAGCTGTCACAGCTGTGGGGTTTCCCGGATGCAGAGAGGGCCACTACTTTCAATGCACTGAATCGGTTAATAATAACCCACATTAGAAAACCAAAGACTTGTAGCCAGAGTGTGGCAGGCCGTGTGGCTCCTGGTCACTCAAGTCCCAGGAAAGTCTGGATTCTTTTCAAGGGTTATTGTAAAGTCGCCTCATGAGGCAGTTTCCAGGGTCAAACCCCCTTCAAGGCTCTGAATGGCCACATCACCTGCACGACAGGTAGTGACGCCTCGGCCCCCAGACGCGGGCCCAGGCCCAGCACGGGCAGCATCTCAGACGCCGTGAGAAATGCAGAGCCCCAGGCGCCATGCAACCCCCTGGGTCAGAACCTGCACCCCGGGAGACTGGGACTCGACTCTGCCCTCCTGCCTGCTGGACCTGGCGTGTGGAGGAGAATGTCAGGCCCAGCAAAGTGTACAATACATCCCCCAAATTATATCCTAGGTCCACTGAAATAAAACGCACAGGTCAATGGAACAGAGCGGAGAGCCCAGAAAACCCACCCCAGGGGTGATCAGTGCAGCAGGGAGGCGCCGGGAGCAAACACGGGGGACGCGCCTTCATTCAGGGGCGCCGCGCACCCACGGGTCACACTCGGGAATGACCCGACCCCCATGTTCCTCCAGGACCCCTATGACCCGGCAGAGCTCCCCACAGCCCGCCCGCCCCGCCCGGGCCGCTCCGCATCAGCCACGGGCGGGAGACGCCCTCGGCCCCCTCGCTCCGGGGCGGCTCCTGAAGAAACCGGGTTCCCGCGGGCAAGGCCGCACCCCGAGTCCCGGGCAGCGATGCCGCGGCGAGCCCGGCCGCTGGGGAGGCGGGAGCCGGGCAGGGGCGGGTGTGGGGGCGGGTGTGGGGGCGGGTGTGGGGGGCTCCAGGGCCGGGGCGGGGGGAAGCCCCGGGGCGCTCACGGGGGCGCCCCCGCCCGTCCCGCCGCGGCTGAAGTTGGGAAAATCCGACGCCAACGGAGGCCGAGAGCGCGTCTCTGGCAACACCGTGACCCTGAAATTCCCGCAGCCGTGAGACAGCAGCTCGTGTCCACGCGCATTACAGACACCGACCCGCGGCCACAGGGGGCCCAAACCCGCTGCCCCCACAGGGAGAGAAGGGCGGCCCGCCCCCGCCCCCGCCTCCGCCCCCGCCTCCTCCTCGGGATTCCCGCGAGGCCGCAGTTCCCCGCCTCGCCACCAGGCGGCGCGCGCTCCCCTCACGCCTGCGCGCTGCCCCGGGGCTTCTCCTTCCTCGGCCGGGGCCCGCTCCGCCGGGGTGGGCGCCCCTGGAGTCCGCGGCTCCGCCACTTCCGCTCCCGCCGCCCACCGCCCCGCGCCAGCGCGCAAGGGCGTGACGTCAACACGCAGGGGGCGGGGCGAGGCCGAGGAAGGAGAGGCGCGCGGGGGGGACCAGGGCCGGAGCAGCGGCGCGCGCCGCCTGGTGGCGCGGAGGCGCCGGGGCGGCGGGAGGCGCGGGGGGACGGAGCCGCGGCCGAGGGCGGGGCGGCCGGGCCAGGGGGGACGCAGCCCGGAGAGTCGTGGGGGGCGGTGGAGGCAGGAACCCGCTGAAACAGGGGTCCTCGCGCATTCGGGGCAAAGAACAAGTTGGCGTCGCCCTTCTGCGGGGACTCTGGGTTCAGAATCTTAGAATGGGGAGTATTACATACACGTGTGTGCATGACGATAAACAGTCGTTCAAATGACCTAGGGAAATGCTGTGAACACAAATAAAAATCTTTATTTGTAAAATGCTAACCAGCATGTTCTTACACTAACAAATACTTGGGGACAATCTGAATAAAACCCCAGAAAACAGTGAAATATATTACACTGTATACGTAAGACAAATGTCGCAGTTGGGAGCAATCATCCTGAATAGCTTTGAATGACTTGAGAAATACTTATGTTATGATGTTAAATGAAGGAGGAAAGACATAAAATTGTAGACATCGTGTTATTCCAGATATAAAATGAACACACTATGATTGATTTAAATTTTAAATACCAGACAAAATTAAAAGCATGTGTTAAGTCTACAGTTACTGACACGCACTTAGGTGATGACTTGTCGTGAAGGGCAAGGGAAATACTTACAGTGACAGCCACACATTGGTGCTTACTCAGAGGGGAAGATTATGACACAGTGTGGTCTTGTGTTTCCTCACCCAGTTAATGGAGTTCATTTGGTAATTCTAAAATTTCACGTTTATACTGTCATAGAAATCTCACGTTTATAAATGTCACGTTTATACTGTTTACACGGATACAGCACCCAGAGCAAACCTGGAAACTGCGTCCCCTTCTTCACTGACATCCAACCAGCTGCCCCTGTCTCGTGGGAATCTTGTGATCACAACATGGGAATAGAGGATATTATCACACACGACACAGACACACACGAATAGGGACGCCCCAGACACAACGAAAGTGACAGATGGTCTGTTATTATCTTACTTGAATCAGGTTATGTTCAAGTGTGTGATGCTTATAGATCTTTTCTGGTGGTTTCTTTTTCCTAAATACATTCTAAAAATATGATTTAAGAAAAAAGAGAGCTGTATTTGGAAGTTGATTTTTTTTTAAAAAAATGCTTTATTTATCCTTTGTGCTGAGCTATAATTTATAATCTTTTTTAAAAGATTTATTTATGCTACAAGAACTGGGATGCAGGCCAGAGTTGCAAGGGGTTAGAACAGTCACCAGAGAGAGCGCGGGGAGCAGCACAGGCAGACGGACCGAGAGCACCACTGAGGGAGCAGCGGGGAAACAGGAAAGGTCTGCGTGCCCTGCGGGCAGCTCCCTGGCCGGGGATCGAACTCAGGCCACAGAGGCTGCGGACAGCTTCACAGCGCTGACGCTTAACCCCTGCGCCACCTGGGAGGCCCCGGGGATTTTATTTTTCGCTGAAAATATTTCATTCTAAGTGAATTTATGTCAGCTTTCAATTTAAGAGGGTCGCTCATACCACGCGGATGCCTTTCACGACATATGTCCAGGGCGTCCCGGGCCACGGTGGGAAACCCACCCTAACCCTGACCCTGACCCTGGACAGGGTGCTGCTGGAGAGAACACCCTCTTCTATATGGGCACCCCCAGTAGCCCGCGGACCTGTGCCTGGACAGGCCCCATCTTTCCATCCAGGCCCTTCCGCTGAGGTTCCCTGGCCCAAGCCCCAGCTCTGTGCCGACACTGCCCCCTTGGGGCTTCTGCGTGCATGACCCCAGAGCTGACCCCGGGGGAAGGGACGGGGGCTTGTTTCCAGGCCTCCCCCTCGGGGGTCTCAAGATGAGCCCCAGATGCAAATGGGTTCCGAGCACCCGCTGTGTTCATTCTCAGTCTGAGCCCCTGGAGTCTCCCCGATGCCATTCTTTTTGCTGACCTGAAGACTCGCAACTCAGGGACCTTCTCGATGGCCGAGGGGTGAGACTCAGCACTTCCACCATGAAGGCCTGGCTGGCCACAGCAGCCTAAGCTCCATCCAGGCCAGGGGCTACCACAGGGCGCAACAGACCTCCCGTCTCGCCCGCCGCTCCCCTCAGCGGTGGATTTCAGACAATCCTTCCCTGCTGCTCCCCGCTCTGTCTTTGTTGCATCCCTCGCCCTGCACCTCTGGTCTACCTCCCGGTCTTGTGTGCACACACAAATAAGGAGC